GTACGAGTATTGTTTGTTTGTTTAAGGTCTACACATTGTTCCATCAACACCTGTTCCTCCTGCAACTCTTTCAATGCCATGTGACCTTCAGGTTTTTTCCTTCATTATTGTCCCTATTCTCATTTATTACTTCCTCAACAATCTCATCAACAGAACCTTCTTTATTCACAAAACTTGTCTCCTCATGAGTCTCATCAGCTGTTTCATCTTCAATCTTATCTATGGCTTCAGCATTATTTTCGAAGCTACTCCTAAATTTCATGAGTTTGTTATTACAAGTGTTGCAGTAAAAAGGGGAAAGAAGCCCTATCTTTCGGTTCCCTCGTTGATGTTTGCCTTACACAAGGCCACCGAGATCTTGAGGCACATGCTGTGATATATAAATTTGCAACCCCCTTCGCATTTGAATGAATACTTTGCCCTGAGCCACATAGTACAATTGCACTGGCCACATTTATCGCAACTTGCTGACATTTCTGCTACTAATAAGTGTCTTATTTAGGACCACAAAGTTGTAAATACTGTGAATGGTCCTTGAGCCTGCTGTGTAGCCAGCTATAGTCAACACAACGCTTGAATTCCAAACCGTGAGCCTGTTTCTACCACGCGTATTGCACTTCTGCTGATATTTTGATGCTCTAACACACCTGCAACACTTCATAGGTTAGTCGCCCACTTAGCACAAGTGTTGAGCCTTTAACACCCACAAAATCGGACTCTAACACCCAACACCTACACCTATATAAGCTATAATCATATAATGGTAATGCTCTAAAATTAATAAATATAATCAATAGGTCACTCTTTAATCAAATACATTTGGAAAACGGCAATAAATAATCGATCTTTTAACCGGGTGGGTAACTATTCCCGCCTTGGTGTGGATTCAGCTGGTGCGCAGACGCAGACGAATCAAAACAAAGCCATCAGTAGAGGCACGACACCGGCATTCAGCTACGAGATATTTAGCATTGTAATAACTGTGGACCTTTGTGTAGTGATATAGACTAAAGCGTAAAGTGAAGCCTATACGACACATAGTTTGTAAAAAGGAAATGAGTGTGTCTTAACACTTTAAAGTGATATAAAAAATAAAGAGAAGTGAGATGTTGGGGCCACACCGACGCCACCGGCCAAACCGACGCCATTAGCTGAAAAAGCCAGACAAAACAACACCACTTCATCAGTGAACTACATCACAATACAGTGCCCAGTCCGCTGAGAGGACTATACAAAACCTTAACAATGATCTAACAGATAACCCAAGACTTTGGACACCCGGCTTCGTCCACTACAATTCGTCCACTACTACGACGGTCAGTGATATATTAATTTTATGAGGGATCCACGTCAAGAAGTTTTCTATTATAGGGATACGGTCATACTACAGGTTTTAAAGTCCAACTCAGTAAGTGAAAGATACTTGCCACTTTATTAAATATAACCAACTAGGTTAATTAATATTTGAAAGATATTGAAATTGTTTAAAGATACAAAAAGTATACATTATTCTTTATTATTGTGAATATAAGTCATAATAATAAAGAATAAAATAACCAATCTTGTCATTGTTTATAACATATTTCATGTGTTAAGATTCCAGCATTAAAAAGTTAGGCTAAAATAACACTACTTAACTGATAATAGTGCATGCTGCATTATACTTATCTACTCAATGCCAACTTACCATTAGGCATCGAGATTTATTACCCGGCAGGTAAATGGTGGCAGCACCTTTACTTCCGGATCTCCCTAAGTAGCAGTGGCCCCTTAAGGAACACTGGGTTACCTAAGGAACACAGAGCTATACCAAAAAGTCTTTCCAGGGACCACAAAGACATGCTACTTCTTTGGTGAAAAGGTTATTTCACTATGGAAGAAAGTGGGGGTTAGGCTGTAAGTGTAACCAATGCACGCCAGGCTGTATTGACTTATAGCAGAGGTCCAGTCTTATTAGCTATTGTTACTGACACTGCTACGTGCCCAGTTATTAGACCTTTCAGACCAGTTGGCATGAGGTACCTGGAGCTTTGTAATTACTTTATTCACTCGTATTCTTGAAGATATCCTCACAGTGTACCCAAAATTTGCCAGTGCAGGCTACTAAACATATGGCATGTATGACTAACCACCCTGCGAGATGGGGACTTTTAGTATCATTGCTGCCTTATTCACTCTTGTGTTCATGATATCCTCATAACGAACCCAGAGTCTGTCAGTGCAGACTACTTATCACATGTCTCTGTATAACTAACCATCCTGTATGATGGGGATTTTTTAGCATCACGTAGCTAGTTTTTTTTACACACTGTACTCCCCTTCATATAGGCTAGGGTAGCTGCACAAATGCAGATGTACCTAATGTATTAATAAAAAAAAGCAACGGGAAGCCTAGGCCAGAATAGGACCTACGACATCTGGGTATACTGGTCTCACAGATTGCTCGGAAGAGGAGACCATTAGTGTAGTGTGGGAACCGACCTGTGAGATTTATATTTATTTAATTTATATGAATTTATATTTACGTTAATTTATATATTTCGATAGCAATTGGTATGATGTTAAGTGGACTGTATTTCTGCAATAATCTCACAAATCGATCCTCTACACATTAGGGGGGTTTATATTGAATTTATATATATGCAGCCAATCAAACTACAGTATTAACTACACATTGAAGAGGTTCCTTATCTTATTGTACAGCAGGCCTTAGTCCACCAGGTATAACCAGGATGTAGACACCAAATTATCCTCTTTGAGGTAGCTTCCATCACCCAGTAACTGGCACACAAAGCATGCTTCCTCGTCTTGACCTGTCAAAAGGGCGCTAGCTATGAAGGAAGAATCCTAATATATGACAGTTATATCAGAGAAAACACTGTACAAGGAACCATAAAGACCTAGGCTTAATTACCTTTAGTATGAGGCGATCTCGTATTCTAACCTGCTCACCCTATCTAATGACATTAATGGCCACAAATGATAGATAAATGGGTTTCGGCAGAACACTTAACTTGTATTTGTTTCCAAGGGTGTTGATGATGGTACACCTTTGGTTTCCATAACACTTCGTCCAAGTAAAATTAACAGGAGCCGAATTGCTCCCATGCCTCTGGTCTAAGTACAATAACAATGGCTGACCACTCCCTCACAACTGACGCTACTGGTCTACATTGTCCAGATGACAGTAAGTGATAGAAGGGTCACATTTACTCTATTTTAATTCTGATAATTAAGTTAATTTATATGAGATGTTTTTATGATGGTAAAGTCCAAAGACTAATGTATTTAAGAATAATTCCCACCATAATAGGTGGTGAATTTATAATAGTATGTGGTAATGATATCCCGTTTTCTATAGACGGAAATTCCACTACAAGTTACATTTTCTATGGGTAAACTTGTTTATACAACACAGCAATATTATCTGTCTGTATGATATTAAATGGTGTGAGATTTTCCGACATGTAGTTGTTGTTTCCAAGAGTCATCAGTTTCTTTGGCACTCGGTGAAAAGGTGCTCGACTTATTATTATTAACATCTTTATTGACAAAATTATTAAAGTGAGGATAATGCTGGTATTCACTGTCATGCAGGACAGAGGGTCATACATAAGACAATGGGTCTAAACTGAAGGCTGAAGCACATATATATCATGGTTACAATCAATGTTTTAATGTATGGATATGTGAAAACAACTTTCTATTGTGCACTGCCACACAAGGGCAGGGATGGGTTCATAAGTGATGCAGCTTAAAAGTAATATAAATAAAAATTGTTCTTCATTCTTTAAAATGGACAAGCAAATTTTGGGTAAATTGTTAGGATGTCGTCCAGAACACCTGAGTCAATAAAATAGTTACACAGTTGGTGGTACAAGAGGCCAGGAGGTCTAAAGTCCTTTACGGTTTCACATTCAACAATATAGTGTTCTAGTGAATGCATTAAAGGTTTATCACAGAGTTTACAATCTGAGTATTCTGATAGTGGCTCAGCCTCACTAACCAGCCAGGTGTGTCTATAGACAAGGCGAATTCGCGCAATGACTACATCACATTGCCTGGTCCGGTTACTGTGCTGACCATACAGATACCTATTATTATAAAACTTGTCATAACTTTTAATACTGCAGCTTTCAGGTCTCTGGGCATTTCTTAGTTCTTCTAAATCTGAATTAATTTCTTTAATTTGTATGTTTCTAATAATTGCATTAGATAGTCCAGTCATAATCATAATCATAATCAGTCATAATCAAGGTGCTCGACTGTGATAACTAAAGAACGACGGAGTGGTCGAGTGAGTGTGACGACCTCCGGTACGCAAACCTCCACAACACCTCTCGCTCGGTCATACCACCTTGCTGGGTCACTGTGTGTTCCTGGCAGTCCTCGGAACACCTGCTAAGGTCCCTGTGTTTGTGTGTGCAACGTGGGGGTAAAGTGTTGACTCTCATACAGAGGCAGGGGTTCGTGATCAAACACAGGATTATAGAGTGTTTGCTGTCCTATAAAAATACACACATACATACAAATAACATTCAGATAACATACAGACATACACTTGGCTACATAGCATCATTAAAATGAGGGCAGTTAATAATAATTCCTTAGAGTGAAACACTAAACCTCTCAGCATATTAATTAAACGTTAACCTCCTCCAAAAGTGCACATGCAAGCTATCAGAGTCCCTCAAGACACGGAGGAAATTAAAGGAATCGGTCCACATTACTGGAACACCACCAGACTCCTACGAACTCGACACCCAACCAGTTCTAAGTACGTAATATTTTCACCGAGTCAGAGGAAATTCCTGACTAGTCAACGTCGCCTGTGTTGTGGTGGCTCCTGGTGGTGGTAATAGGCTTGGTGGAGACTCATTCTCTCCTCACTGCTTAATGTGTCCTCTTATCTTCTTCTGCATGTTATATCCTCTTTCACCTACTGTCATGTCTCATCTTTTTCTGTCCTCTCACTTCCTGTCTAGTCATCTCCTGTCCTCTCATGTCCTGTCCATTAATCTTCTTCTATCCTCTTCTGTCTTCTTGTTCCTAGAAGTCTTGTTTTTCATCTCCTGTCCTTTAATCTTCTTCTGTCCTCTCATCTCCTTCTGTCCTGACATTGCCTTCTGTCTCTTTATCTCCTGTCCTCTAATGTTCTTCTGTTCTCTCATCTCCTTATGTCCTCTCTTCTTCTGACCTGGAAGCGAGGGCACTGATCCTAATTATTGTTACTTTAACTACAGGGAAATAGATTGGACAATGGAAGATCCCCATGGTAGGGGGATCATAATGGAGAGTAAAACAAGTGGAGATATGGAGGTCAGCCAATGACGTATGAATCACATAATGCGGCCAACATGGTCGTGGGGAAAAGGCGAGTCAGTGACATCAAACTTTGTTTTCCCTGAGAGTGACAGGGTATGGCATAGATAAAATAGTGAGGAGGTACTGGTGCCAGTGGCTGGACATGGCGTAGATAGAATACAAGGAAGCAGCAAGTAACCACTACATCACACTATTCCACTAGAAAGTTGAGCTGAAAAAGAGCAACAAATCGAGAGACGAGTCGAGAAAGATTTAAGACTATAATATGGAAAGTTAGAAGCTTTTTCCACAGGCAGTTGACAGGGAAATAATACCAATAATAGCTTATTTAGGTAACAGTACATACATACAAAATCAATTACAAGCAGAACGTAAATGCATAACACAAGTACAGAGGTCATGTAAATATTCATCCCAATCAAGAAAGAAGTTTGACGAGAGATATACCATTGTTGAAGAATGTGAGGCTAAGGGTAAATAAGGAGGCATGAAATAGGAAGAAGCAGAACATGGGAGTAAACAGAGGAGCAGCCTGGGAGAGACAAAAATCATTACACTTAAGAGTCAAGAGGGAAGTTGTTAAACGTTTTGAAAATGATGGCCACATGCACAGTGACGTAGGGAATGACTAAGTTGTTGAACAGTGACGTTAGTAATGACCAAGTTGTTGAACAGTGACGTTAGTAATGACCAAGTTGTTGAACAGTGACGTTAGTAATGACCAAGTTGTTGAACAGTGACGTTAGTAATGACCAAGTTGTTGAACAGTGACGTTAGTAATGACCAAGTTGTTGAACAGTGACGTTAGTAATGACCAAGTTGTTGAACAGTGACGTTAGTAATGACCAAGTTGTTGAATAGTGACGTTAGTAATGACCAAGTTGTTGAACAGTGACGTTAGTAATGACCAAGTTGTTGAACAGTGACGTTAGTAATGACCAAGTTGTTGAACAGTGACGTTAGTAATGGCCAAGTTGTTGAACAGTGACGTTAGTAATGACCAAGTTGTTGAACAGTGACGTTAGTAATGACCAAGCTGTTGAACAGTGACGTTAGTAATGACCAAGTTGTTGAACAGTGACGTTAGTAATGATCAAGTTGTTGAACAGTGACGTTAGTAATGACCAAGATGTTGAACAGTGACGTAGTGAACGGCCAAGCTGTTGAACAGTGACGTAGTGAACGGCCTTTATCCTAACCAACCAGAGGACCCAAAACACCATGTCATTCCGCTAACCATTTTCTAGTGCGACGATTTTTGGCCTTAGGGAGAGTGTACGTCAAAATGCGACGCTCTATTAGGAGGCCGGGTTGCCCAAGTGGTACTGACGTTCTGGCGTCCCAGAAGTCATGACAACAACTGCACCAAACACACATACACATTTATACTCACTTCCTTCGTCCATTACGTTTGAGAGAAAACTTTTAATTATTCCTACACAACGATGAGAAAAAGGACCAACCGGGCTGTGGTGGGTATGTGGGCCTGCGGGCCGCTCCAAGCAACAGCCTGGTGGACCAAACTCTCACAAGTCAAGCCTGGCCTCGGGCCGGGCTTGGGGAGTAGAACTCCCTGAACCCCATCAAGCAGGTCCTCTCAGCTTGTCTTGTACCCAATGATTGCTGTACAGTCTGTGCATTATTCGCCTGTCTGTAAGACATCAGTACTTTGCGTCACCTGTCCATGGATTGGGAGCAGTATGTGCAGGTCAGACGCCGTGTGTGTGTGTGGTGACATACAACACCTGGTTATACTAGAAGTATGCCACCAGGATAGTCCCCGAGCTGAGGGGTATGAGATACGAGGAAAGATTACTGCAGGTGTAAACTAAGTACCCACATGAGCCACAGGGACGTTAGAAAGAACTTTTTCAGTGTCAGAGTAGTTAACAAGTGGAATGCATTAGGCAGTGATGTGATGGAGGCTGACTTCATACACAGTTTCAAATGTAGATATGATAGAGCCCAGTAGACTCAGGAACCTGTACACCAGTTGATTGACGGTTCAGAGGCGGGACCAAAGAGCCAAAGCTTAACCCCCGCAAGTATAACTAGGTGAGCACTAGAAGAGGGCAGTTTATTCAACTAGCCAGTATGTTCATAGCTGGGGGTTCACCCCCCAAATTAGGTGTAGAGTGGTAGCTGCTTCCTTGAGTCACCCCCCTAGGGTCACCCCCCTAGGGTCACCCCCCTGGGGGTCACCCCCCTTGGGTCACCCCCCTGGGGTCACCCCCCCTAGGGTCCTCCCCTCCTGGGGTCATCCGGGGGGGGGGGGTGACCGCAGGCCCAACGGTCAGGGACACCCCTTGTTTCCTGCCTCTCCCTCTCACACCAATAACATTCAGAGCTCATCAGCTCTGACCACTAAGCTCAGGCGGCCTGTGTATGTTTGGAACGGAATTGTGATTGCTGGGATGGCTGTATGCCTTAACATAAATGAATAAGGGCTAGACGGATAAGTGGACAGCGCTCGGGGTTCGTAGTCTTAAGGGTCCGGGTTCGATTCCCCGGCGGAGGTGGAAACAAATGAGCAGAGTTTCTTTCACCTTGATGCCTCTGTTCACCTAGCAATAAATAGGTACCTGGGAATTAAGCAGCTGCTACGGGCTGCTTCCTAGGGATGTGTGTGTGTGTGTGTGTGAAAATTAGGATTAAGGACCTGCCCGAAACGCTCTGCGTGCTAGTGGCTGTACAAGAATGTAAGAACTCTTATATATATATAAATAAATAGAGTTGAGCTGGGCTGCTATGCTCTAGGCTCCTCTGGCTCATTCTCATTGGACCAGTAACGAGAAAAGAACAGGTGCTCTCTCTCTCTCTCTCTCTCTCTCTCTCGAAGCTACAAGTATCAACTCCAAGCATCTTCTGGTGGAGGATAACTCCCCATTCTACGAGGGAAAAGTACGCTATATTAATGCTGGTGTACTTGTAGCTTGTAGAGCGAGTGTACTACTTGCTATATTATATATATATATATATATATATATATATATATATATATATATATATATATATATATATATATATATATATATATATATATATATATATATATATGTTGTACATTCAACTTAATGTCCCGAGCATCAATTTTGAGTTCCAAATTGTCCTTTTGCACACATGAGGAGTGAGGAGAGGTGTGAGGCAGCCTCACCAACCTACGGGACCTATGAACCTAACCCCTCAACCACAATAATGGGCGCCTGACAGCTGGGTGGATAGTGCTTTGGATTTGTAGTTCTGAGGTTTCGGGCTCGATCCCCCGGTGGAGGAGACAAATGGGCAAAATGTTTCTTTCACCCTGATGCCCTTGTTACCTAGCAGTAAACAGGTACCTGGGAGTTAGACAGCTGCTATGGGCTGCTTCCCGGGGTGTGTGTAAGAAAAAGGAGCCACGCCAGTCTTTGTATTGAGTCGTGTATTGTCAGCTTCAATACACGGCTCAACTAGTCACATAAATCAGTTATCACTAAACTGTCAACTCAACTAGCAAATCAGATATCCATTTAGTGTCAAACTCAGTCAACTCTCAAATTAGTTAACCTACACATCAGATAGCAACTCGGTAACAAATCAATAATGAATCAACTATCATATCAGTAACGGCTTAAATCTAGGTACAGCTGACACCAGGCTGCCACCCCACGCAGTGGTACACTATCCTACACAACAGTTGGGAAGGGCGACACGTAAAGGTGGGCTAAGGAATCAGTCACTGTCGGAAAACCCTCCCTACACCACTTACTAATATTACATACAACAGGCAGTTAATATTGCTGCTGTTGTATACACAAGTTAACCCATAGAAAATGCAGCTTATAGTGGAATTTTCCGTCAATAGAAAACGGGATATCATTGCCACATAGTGCTATAAATTCACCAGCTATTCTGTTGGGAATTATACTTAATACAGTAGTCTTAGAACTTATTACATCATGAAAACATCTCATTTGAATTAACTTAATTATCAGTATCAAAACAGAGTAAATGTGACCCTTCTACCACATATTGACATCTGGACAAGGAGAGCCAGGCGTCAGTGGTGAGGGAGGTCAGCCATTGTAAAAAGATAGAGTCGTTGGATCAAATTCAGCTCCTATAATTCACTCTTGGACGAAGTGTTATGGAGATCAACTTAAGTGTTCTACCATCATCAACACGCTGTCAACAACCACAAGGGAAGTGTCTTTCCGAAATCTTATCTAAATCATTATTGGCCAGTAATGTTAGGTAGATATGATTAATTTTGGTTAGGACACGAACGAACGACTCAACCCAGGTAATTAAGCCTTGGTCCTTATCTAATAATATATAAATGTTTCATCTGATATAGCTGTCATATATTAGGATTCCGGCATTACAGCTAGTGCCCTTTAACAGGAACAAGAAGAGGAAGCAAGAATTAATCTTGGTGCATCAGTTACTTGGGCGATGGAAGCTAGCCTCACACGAGGAATATTTGGTGTCTACATCCTAGTTATACCTGGTGGACTAGGCCTACCATACGATAAGATAAGGCACCTCCAAAATTTATTTACTAATATATGTAGTTTAATACTGTAGTTTGAATTGGCTGCATATATATAAATTTAATATAAACCCCCCCTAATGTGCAAGGATCGATTTGTGAGAATATTGCAGAAATATAGTCCGCTAAACATCAAACAAATTGCTATCGAAATATATAAATTAACGTAAATATAAATTCTATATAAATTCATATAAATTAAATAAATATAAATCTCAAAGGTCAGATCCCACAGTTACATTCTGTAACACTACAACAATACTCTATAATCCTTAAGTATTCACTATCATCCACCATCTGACCTACTGATAAGTCGGTTACCCTGATCATACACATTACTCTTG